GGATTCACCAGAGACAGAATGAGGAGCAGAACAGGCGTAGACAGATGAAGTACACTGCTGAGGGGAGCAGCAGGTGAGACAGGAGAGGTCTGCTGTGCCATGTGGGTCACCTCTCGGGCCAGTGATTGACTGGCACTGAAGTGGCTGCAGCTAGCTTGCAGTGCTATCCTTTAAATACACTGTGCCACCAGGGAGGGCCCACGTCACATATCTGTACATTAAAACAAAACTCACAATTAAATTTGAAGCTGAAGAATTATTTGAAATAACAGATGCCTCTTGGCTATAGGCATTATTCTAAACTCAATCTATTTGATAGATATTTATTGCACACCTACTATGTGACTGGAATAGGAAATAACCTTTCTTTTGGAGAGCTCACAGTCCAATGGACAAGGCAGTCATGTAGACAGAGAGCACCATGCAATGGTAAGAGCTGTAATAAAGATATGAGAAATGCTTTAACAGTCTGGAGGGTTAACTAGCTTCAGTGATGGGATGGTGATGGCGAAGAGATAGATCCTTGAGTCCCAGTCTACCTGGCTTTACTCCAACTGAGACTTCCTGAAGTCTGTGTTGACATAGTCAGTCCTCTTTGCCAGGATGCATTCTGTCTCGTGCTAAATGGGAGCCACAAGGTTGCATTTGGATATTTACATCCAGTGATTTTAGCACTATACCTCTCTAAGCAATCGAGTTTTCAGGGTTAAGGGACACTCAATTAGTCTTCTTTCTTTCTTTCTTTTTAAGATTTTATTTATTTTTAAGTTGACCTGGGTACAGGCTAGAGGTGCAAGGTGGGGAATAAGAGGATTCACCAGAAACAGAGTGGGAAGCAGTACAGCCAGATCTACTGAAATATACTGATGAGGGGAGCAGTGGGCGAGACAGGAGAGGTCTACTGCACCATATGGGTCACCTCCCTGGCCATGGGTCAAACTCAGGCTACAGTAGGAATAGCCCTGAGACTTAAGCCCTAGGTCAGTTAGTTGGTTTTGCTGAACAAGACAATGGGGGGTGGGTGGCCCTGGGCCCTCCCTAGTGGCAAATGGGTTAAAGCATAGCACCATGAAGCTCTTCACAGCTAGCTGGATACCCTGCAAGGAGGTGACCCACATGGTGCAGCAGGCCTCTCCTGACCCGCCTGCTGCTGCCCTCACCAGTGTACTTCGTCAATCTGCCTGTTCTGCTCCTACTCTGTCTCTGGTGAATCCTCTCACCACCCCTGCACCTCTGACCTGTACCCCAGTTCTGTATGTATAAATAAATTAAATCTTAAAAAATAAAGACAAAGAGGGTATAAAAATGAGTGGCTGAAAAAATTTGGAGAAGTGAAAAGGAAGAAGTCAGTTGTATTAGGCATCAAAGTTACTGGAATCCCAGTCAACTTGAAGTCAGTACGTTTAACTGTCATCCTATGACACAAATTTATTATTTTTTTTCTTTTAAAGATTTATTTATTTGTGCATACAGAACTGGGGTACAGGCCAGAGGCTCAGGGGCGGTGAGAGGCTTCACCAGAGACAGAGTGGGGAGCA